GGTGATGAGAAGAGAGAAGGAGAGATGCTTCCTGCACACCACATCCGAGATCCAATAACAATCACTGGGATTTGTACAAGAGGCAGAAAAATCTTGGCCAGTTTGACACACACACACACAATCACACACACACAAATTCAGTGTACTAGCAAACACACAAACACGGCACATTCACAAACACATACACACAGTTCCGTTTCAGCATGAAACGATATCCCACAATCCCCAGGGAGACTGCACGGTTCTGTTGCTATGACGACTGGCTACTCTTGCCAGATATGGAGTGATATTAAGATACAGTGAGAGAAAGAGGGAGAGCAACATAGGAGGAGGGTGGTGGTGGTGGTGGTTGTGGTGGTGGTGGTGGGGTAGAAGAAGATGAGAGATGGAAAATAAAAGAATAAAAATCGGGGGAATGTAAAGAGGAGGAGCCGACAGATGGAGCGTTTGTGTGGTCGTGGCTGCGTTCCTCACGTGTAGAAGTCGGTGTTATGGCATGTTGTCTGTGGAGAACACAGGGGTTTTCTATGTTTAGCAGACACAGCATCAATCGACCAACTAGTGTATACTCCCACAGCACTAAGGAGCAGCCATAAAAGCCCCGCTTAGGCCTGCCTCACTCTCACTGATGCCCCCTGCTGGTCTGAGTCAGACATGACATTAAAGTACAAGAGGCCCACTCATCTAGACTTCCCACTAAATACTTACATCTGTTAGTTTTTGCTTTTGTTTAGCAACAGTGTTGGTATAACAACATGTGATTTGTTTGCTATGTAATATGGATTTTTACTTGAGCTTTTTGGATATTTCTTCCCATGTCTGTTTTTTTGCCATTGCCTCACTTCAGATGCACTTACATGCTCTCGCTCTCTGTGTCTCTCTGTCTGTCCCCAGTTACCCAGCAGTGTGCGAGTTCCTACAGACCAACAACCTGCTGTCAATCATCAGAGCGCATGAAGCACAGGATGCTGGGTAAGCTGACTGACTGTCGCGGCTCAGTCCTTCTCTCGGCTTAAAAGGGAGCCCCATTTAATTTAATGGCTTACCTTAACATTTCATGTTCTGAGCTGTTATTTTTCTTTGTCAGGGAACTGGCACATTACAGGAAAAGAAGTTCCACGATTTTCCTTCTGCCACCCTTAAACTGTGTTATTAGCATTGTCTGTTTGTCTGATGGAGAGCACTAACAGTCTAAACACAATTCAGGTTAACTAACTAATGGTGGAAGGCAAAGAGCAATGTAAGGTTTGCACTACTAGTCTAAATATAATAGCGGGGGACGAAACACAATTTTCTGACCCACAAATCCATTCCAGGCATCTGTTATCTTAGTGTAAATCCTCTAAATATAATGCAGCAATTAAGGCTGCACTACTCTGAGTTGTGCTGTTTGGTGAACCCATTAACAGTATTTTGTCTGTCATGCAGCTGGGCAGTCTGGGTAATCATCCGTGGGTTTTTGGTGCACTTGCACAAAAGCTGGTAGAGAATTAATTATAATTTTAGTAGATTATACTTCTCCACCAGTAAATAGTGCTTAATGTATAGATTAAATAATGATTTTAGTGAAGTCTAACTGCAGGTGACCTTTTGTTACACAACTGTGCATTTACTGTGTTATTTATCGTATTATGTCCTGTCAATATAAACAGCTGAATATGCTGATTTATTATATACTAACTGCAGAAACAGTAGTGTATTGTGCATACTGGGTACATGAAATGTAAAGTCTGTGCCATTGCGGTAGAGCAGTGTAACAGGCAGCCAATCAGGAGCCTGTTTGATACAGAACCATTAGCTTGCCTTGATTTGATTGGCTCATGGTCAGACACAGTGTACAACAGCCAGCTTTGGTTTGCAAATAGACACAGACCAAAACCAGAGGTGGAAAATAATGAAGTGCAAATACAACCATTACTTGAGTATTTATATAACAGTTTTACTACATTATTACACAAATGTCCATATTTTCTACTCCTTACAGTTTCAGAACAGGCTTATTACTTTAATTTCAATGCATTTGAGGAGAATCATTGAATGTTTTTTTTTTTTTTTGCATCATTGCACACCGTCCCAACATCACCGGTGTAAATAACACGAGACAGACACGGCGAGCATCGACCCTATTTAAAGTTTCAGTCAGGTTTTGCACAGAAACAGAAGTTATAAATGTCCTTCAGAGAAAAAAGAGACCACATTTTATATTTTATACTTTCCAGTAGTTGAATCTGTGCCTCTACTTTAGTGAAGAATGTGTGTACTTTTGATACCTCTAACCAAACCAAATCAAGAACTGGCGTTGTACTGATGACTGATGATTGCATATTGGCAGATTTTTCATATTTTGTTTGTACACAGGCTCCCAGATCCTTTACAAAGCTACACACGGCACTGGAACACTGGGAACGCCATAATATAAGATGATATGAAAATCACTTTAACAGGAAAACCAATTCTGCTGGACACCTAGATTGTATTTGTTTATAATAAATAAGCAAAATGATTGATTACTGAAGAGTTTGGTAATTACTTTATCCTCGAGGGACCCGGCTAGTAGAGGCTGCTCTTGTGCTCTTGTTTGTGGGTACAAATTAAATTTGTGTGCTTGCGTTCATTAAAATGTCTAATGTCTGTATGTTCTTTGCATGGATGAAACTAATTGCACCCAGACTTGTTTTTATAGTCACAAGATCTGGGCCTTAAAATCTAAATGTTAAGTTTGTGCTGACAGCTCCACTCAAACTACCCAGCCCAGTGGCACTTTTACTTTACCCTCTCATTTTGCCCACACAGATTCCTTATTCGTTTGTTTTTAAATGCGTGGCTGTCTCACTCTCAACCGGTCTCTGTCTGGTTTAAAGACCTCTGAAGCAAATCCTCGGTTTGACATGTTTTTTTATTTTTTATTTGAGTAGCTGTAACGTGGGCGGCTTGTTTGTCTCTCTTTCCTCAGGTATCGTATGTACAGGAAGAGTCAGACTACAGGTTTCCCCTCCCTCATCACCATCTTCTCTGCTCCAAACTACCTGGATGTCTACAACAACAAAGGTCTGACACACACATGCACAAACACACACACACACACACACACACAGACATGAAAAGCTGAAGTGTGAGCCCTGCGGTGCAATTATTTTAGACTGAATAAATGTTAGTCTTCATCCAAGACTGAAAAGGAACAAACACTAACATCTGTGGAGGACCTATACAGATGTCCACACTGTGCAGTGAACATTTTTTAACTAATATTTGTGTGTGTGTGTGTGTGTGTGTGTGTGTGTGTGTGTGTGTGTGTGTGTGTGTGTGTGTGTGTGTGTGTGTGTGTGTGTGTGCGTGTGTGTGTGTGTATCCAGCGGCGGTGCTGAAGTACGAGAACAATGTGATGAACATCCGTCAGTTCAACTGCTCTCCTCACCCCTACTGGCTGCCCAACTTCATGGACGTCTTCACCTGGTCGCTTCCTTTCGTGGGAGAAAAGGGTGAGCTATTTGGGGGTTTGGTGGATGACATTTTTGCCCCAACTCAGATGGATCACCGGGCTGCGAAGGGGCTCCAGAATGATGAATCCAGGTTTTGGGGCTGATATGATTTTGTGAAAATATTTTGATTGATCAGACTGGTGTAAGTGTGAAGCAACAAAAGAGTCACAAAAGATAAAAAGTTAGCTCTCAATATGTTGCGTTACAGTTTCATTTGGAGGTTTAAATCTAATATAATGTACCATAAAATAGCAGCTATCATAGATCAGTTCTACAGACCCATTTTTATCCTGCCACAAATCTGCTCGTGCGCTTTCACAGCAGCTTCCCCTTTATACCTTAAGGGAGCGTGCCCTATGTTGCACACTATACTGGTTTAAACTATGTCTAGGACGAGTTTCACAAGTGACTTCAAAACAGTTTTGACAATGCCCAATCGCAGAATTTTGTTATAACAGGCTTCTGCTTACCTTTTCTTTTATGCGGATCCGCAAAGTTTTGCTGTCACTCAGTCCTCTCGTCCGTTGTGAAGAAAAACTTGGTTGTCTCACTTCTCTGTCTTCATCACGTCGGGGTCACCAAATTGTTGAGGAAGGGCTGCTCTCTTAGCCCTTTGCCTCACGTGCTCTTTAATGAAGCGATAGGAGAAGATTTAGTTTACTCAATAATCAGCTTTATTCTTAACACTAGTAGAGTATGCAAAGTTTACAGAGCTCTGGGTCCAGACTATAGTATCTCTGACAAGCAACAAAGTGTGTGTCAGTTCACAAAGTCCGACCCTCTCTCTCCCTGACCCAGTGTGTTATAGTACATCCGTGAGAAACGTCACAATAAGGCGTCGTCTTCTTCCCATCAGCTGTAGGCGCCTTCCCTCCTCGTTGTATCTGACTCCAACGTCATGCTGACGCTTCCCGGTGTAACCCGAAACTTTACATACCAATAGACCATACGCCTGTTCTTTGAGTGATTAACACTATCTAGTCTTCGTATGTCACAGATTGATTAACCCTATCTAACCTTTGCATGTAACTAAGAACTCATTTATTCCATATATGGAGTTATTTTGCACGACTGTGTGGCGCTCCCTATATCTCAAGATCCTGTTTTTCGGCTGCAGGAAGAAGCTGCGGTTAGCGTGACCCTAACTCAATGCTGAGAGTTTGCTGTTTATCCATCCTGTTTCTCGGTACAAAGTTCATGCAATATACCAGCCTTCTATTTATTACATGGTGCTCAATCATCCTTATTTGCTAATGCAACTTCAATCAACTTAATCAAGCATATATGTTTTAATCATTGGTCACATGACGGATATAAAACATAACATATCTTCAACACATATATATAAATTTAGACGAATAAGTCATCTGTGTAACACCACTTAAAATTACATTGATGATACATTGTCACACAAAACAATATCACTAGCTCAGAAAGGCTGACACAACCATATTTGTGGAACTGCATGTATATGTAACAACAATATATATGTGACTATATATTAATTCACTGCATGGTATTTTAAGATATTCACTTTCTGTAAAAGCTATAAGTTATTTCATTTAATTTATTAATTTTGTTTTCAGCGTTTGCATTTGGTAAAGCAGCTAAACTATGGTCACCAATCAGTAAACACGTTTAAAGTAAAAACAGTACAAGGGATAATCTCTCTATAAATGTCTTAGTTTTAAAGGGAGATCCTTTTTTATGTACTTTATATTGTTCTAGTACCACTTTATAATACTCTCTAAAAATAGCAATGATATCAGCTTAAAAAGGTGTATAACCCCTATTTACAGGATTAAGGACTTGTGGGTAACCAGAGTTTAGTCAGATTTAAGGCATTTTTTATGACAGGAGAGAGAGTTAGGGGATGACGCACGCGAACCGGGGACACTGCGGCTCACGGTTAACATTTAAACCCCTAGGACACAAGGTTCCCCCTATATCCCTGGTTAAGTGAGTGTGTGTGTCTGTCTGTTTGTCCTGCAGTGACTGAGATGCTGGTCAACGTCCTGAGTATCTGCTCTGATGACGAACTCATGAACGACGGAGAGGAGATCTACGATGGTAAGAGTAACACTCAACGCTGACCGAAAAGCTGTGTGATTCAAACATGTGTCACATGTGTGAATAAATAAATAACTGACATGTATTTTAGTATGATGATATCACAAGAAATCACTTTAATGAGTTTGTGTTTGATTCTTTTACAGCCAGTGCAGCAGCAGCCAGGAAAGAGGTGATCAAAAACAAGATTCGAGCCATTGGGAAGATGGCTAAAATGTTCTCTGTTCTACGGTGGGTTGTACATACTGTGTGTCTATAAATTTCCTTTAACTTAAGCAGAAATTAGTCACCAGATTGTCTCTTTCAGCATTCAGTGGTTTAACCCACAAGCATGTTTCTGTGTTGTTTGCAGGTGCACATTGAGGGGAAGTGTGTAATTCTCTGTAATTCTCTCTTTAACATCTGCTCTCTCTTTTTATCCACACACACCTGTCTCACACACACACACACACACTGTCTCTGTCTGTCTCTCAGGGAGGAGAGTGAGAACGTGTTGACCCTGAAGGGGCTGACCCCTACAGGCATGCTGCCCAGCGGAGTGTTGTCTGGGGGCAAACAAACCCTGCAGAGCGGTGAGTGTTTCACACACTCGCACAAACACACTCTCAAACTGGACCCTGGACACACCTTCAAAAACAGAAATAAATCACACACGAGTACACACAGAAACAGTTTAAATATCTGCTTTGGACCATCCTCTGGTTCCTTCCTACCTCTTTCCTCTTCTTCTTCCTCTCTATTGCTATTGTTCTCCTCTCATCCTTCTGCCTCACTGACTCACTCTCTCCACCTCACCTCACCGGCGCTGAGGATACTAACGGCCTGCTGGTTGTATGCATGTGCGTGAGAGAGAGAGAGAGAGAGAGAGAGAGAGAGAGAGAGAGAGAGGGAATGACAGAAAGTAAGGGACAGTAATGCAAAAAGACAGTGAAAGGAGAGGAAGTGTGTGTGTGAGGTGTGTGTGTGAGCTAACACCAGCTACTGCTAACACCAGGTGCCCTCTGAACCTCAGTGCTGCTCTGAGGGCCTCACACGACTAAAGCCTGAAACATGCCTCTGGGTCCGCAAATTTGCAAGCGTCATGGATACACACTCGTATCGCACACTCGTATGTGTAATTTATGTTGTGTGCCAACGTAAATTACACATATAACCTTAATGTGTACAACAGGGGACTATGTTGCATTTACCAAACCGGAATTTGAGTTTTTTTTATTTATATATTTATTTTTATGGGGGCATTTTTGTATTTAACTCACAGCGTTTAGTGAAGAGGCAGACAGGAAATCTAGGTAGGGGTTGCAACTGAAGTCCCCGGGCTGGACTCGAAGCGGGCGTAGTTGAGGTTTGCACATCTTAGCCCAATAGCCATCATGACGCCTCCTACTTAGGAAGGTAACACAAATATTAATAATGTAATTTACTCTTTGATCTGCTTTCTGTGTGTTTTGCGGTTAAAGTATTTTAAAAAATGTCTTGTTTTGATGTCGGACCGACGCAAAAACTGGCTAAACTTTTTCGTACAGGTGTTTGACAACATTTAGCTGAGATTTGCAAGGTGAGCCACGGTTTACACGTGAACTGCACAGAAGCATGTTTCAGCCTTCACTCCTTTCTTCTTCTCCTCCTCCTTTCTTTGTATTTCATCTTCTCTCTCGGACTCTGTCATCTTCTCTCTCTTCCTGTCCTCCCTTCTTTATCTTCTCTCTGCCCATCCTTCAGCTACCATTGAGGCCATAGAAGCCATCGAGACAGTTAAGGACGCTGAAGGTAAAATTCCACTCATTTCACTGTGTGTGTGTGTGTGTGTGTGTGTGTGTGTGTGTGTGTGTGTGTGTGTGTGTATGTGTGTGTGTGTGTGTATGTGTGTGCAGCATGGCTGCGCTCTCAGCCACCCATGCTCATGGTCATAGATTTTCCTTACCCACGATGCACTGAGCTCTTCTAACCACATCAGCGCTCACAACAAAGCCTAAAACCGCTGCACGCTGACATCACCACATTAAAACATACACACACTTTTCTCTTTCCTTCTCTGGGGAAACAGGAAACAACACTACACCCTCCCTCATACACACACAAACATTTATTTATATGCCACAAATCAAACACAATTTTTCCTTACACACACACACACATACACACACACACACACACACACACACACACACACACACACACACACACAGAAGAAGAGCGGGTCTGTGGGTGGGAGTGGGTGTTGTGAAGGTTGGCAGGGTCATTCAGACCTAGTCTGTAGTGTGTTAGTCTTTTCTTTATATTTCAGTAGAGTAGGTGCTGTAGTTCTGTTGAAATAAACATGCAATCAATCTGTTTCTCTACAAGCTACGGCAGAACAGGAGTCACCTGTGATAATGAAAATAAATCAATGAAAAGTGCTAAGGAAGTATTTGTATTTATTTTACAAACCAATCCCAAACAATACAGCTTTTCACTGAGCTTTTGACCATAAACCTTCTTCAGCAAACGATCCCATGACCTAAGTACAAAACTTCAGTCACGTGACAATAACAGGCGATGAGCCCTAGAATCTGTACCTGTATATGTGAAGACTGGTTAGTTTGACTGTGTTTGAAATCTCTGTGAAAAGCTAAAGTAAGTTAACCTTGAGTTTAGAATACGTGTTCTCAAGGTTACCACATTTCCAAACGTAAAAATTGTTCAAATACAAAGAAGAGAAATATTTGGCACTTTTCATCACATTTTTTATTTGGAGGAACAATTCAAACATGTCTGAATGGCTGAAGCCTGAACAGGTCTGTCAGGTTCTGCTCTGCTATTGAACAGATTGTGGTCATGGTACTTGTACGTGTATTATATTATGTGTAAACAGGCTTAGTTCTTATTGTGCACGCGTCAGTTGACTGTAGTCTTTTGTGTTTGTACCTTTAGTGCTGTCTTTAGCTCATATGAACTACAGTCCATAATTTGTTTGGCAAATGAATTATGGGTATCTCTTGTGTTGTGTTTTTTTCTTCTTTGTTTCGTAATATAGTTTGTAGCTGATTATTAGATGTCCGCTGTGTAAGACAGCGGCATATTTCTGAGTAACGGCATGTGTGCAAAGGTAATATGTCAGTTGCCGTTGTTCAAAAGTGGCAGAGACCTCTCCAGACAGACGTCCTCATCACAGTTCAGCTGATCTCGAAGCTTCACGTCGTGAGGGTTTAACCTTAATTCAGTAAAATTCATTTAGCTGACAAATGTTATTACAAGTGGTAGCCCTAGTTGTTATCTGTATCTGCTTTTATCTCTAGTCTAATTTAGAGGGGCACTCCAGCATTTTATTATAGCCTCTCCATATATTCACAAGATTAGAGACAGATTAAAAACATGTTAAATGTTCAAGCATATAACTTCATGAAACCACAACTCAATCAAATCAAACAAGCATGGTACCCTGTGTTCATTTGTGAGCTTCAGAGGTACATTATTTAACTTTGGATGTTGCCAGGCTATCTGTGTCCCCCCTGTTTCCAGTCTATGTGCTGAGCTAAGCTAACAACCTGCTGGCACTTCCTTCAAATTTACTGTGCGGACATGAGAGAGGTATCAGTATTCTTGTCTGACCCAACATTTGTAGTGTGCAAGTGCAAGTTGAGATAAACCTCACCTGCATGTGTAGAATGGGTGGAGTGCCCCTTTAAGAAATCATTTATAGTGTACTAGCATATTATTCTTTGAACACACCTAGAAGAGGAATGTGACAAAGTTTATGATCCCAAAAAAAACTTAGACATTAACTTAAAAACAAGCAACCTGAGAGAAATGGAAAACCTGACACCTGACTTTTGTCCTTTGTAGGTTTCAGAATTTTATGGGGAAGTGGTAACCACCAATAGAAATTGTTTCAAACAAAAGGCTGACTGTCAAAAACTGCTCACAGATGCGAAACACATTTTTAGGACTTATGAGCGACCGCTTCTGTGCAGCTGTGCTTTGTTCCATACTCTGTGTCTCATAATGGCTTATCTACCAGGTGTCTCAGACTACTGATCTAGGATCAACGGCCAGGTCGCACTGACTGTTACACTCACTGTGAGCCACGAGGTCAAACTAATCCTAGTTCAGCATTCAGACAACAGATGATCAATGGCTGATGTGTGTGGATATTGGTGTAAGAACCTTTTATATATGCACATATGACAGAATCATGTCTATCCAAACCCAAAAATGACCTTCTGTTAAAGGGAGCACAATCAGGGTCAAATCTATTGAAAATTGGTGTGTTCAAATGAAAACATTTAAAAGGTGAATTAAGTCAAACTGAATGCTTTGGTAATGCGTGTTCACATATCTTAAATATGGCTTGGAATTTCAATCCATTTCAGTGCTCTGAATATGTCCATCTGAAGCTCCCAAGGTTTTGGATACACAAGATTCTGCAAAAATGTCTTGTTAAATATTAACCCTGTGTGCATATATGTATGTGTGTGCGTGTCTGCGTGCGTGTGGGTGCGTGCCTGTCCCCTCAGCCATCCGAGGCTTCTCCCCGCAGCATCGGATCAGCAGTTTCGAGGAGGCCAAAGGTCTGGACCGGATCAACGAGAGGATGCCTCCGCGACGTGACGCCGTCAACAGTGTGGGGCTGTCGATGGGCCGCATGAACATGGGAGAGCCCAATGGGACCGACAGCAACAGCAATATACAGTGATGGACATACACTCCCACATGCCCAGACACATACCTGCAGTTACAACTCTGATATGGTACCATATTTATAGAATCGTGTACATATATACATATATACACACAAGAATACATCACATACACAGACACAGTATTTCATACACTGAATAGGCTACATCACACACACACACACATGCAAATCACACACACACACACACACACACATGATTACCTACCCCTCTCCCGTTGCCCTCTGCTGTATGTAAAGGCATGAGCGTACCTGGACTTAACCACCAAAGGCTGAGTCTCTTCACTGAACTGATCGGTCCTATTTAGAGAACTACAACTTCCATGTACCTGCACAACAACAGGAAAGAAACTATAAAAACACTCCCCATGCAAAACAGGAGGAGCTGCTGTTCACCGTGTATGTTGGGGATCACCAGTGGGTTGACAGTGTCAGCATGACGTGGCTGTGTCGATGGTGTGTGTTGTGTTGGCGGGGTCAAGTTTCTGCGGGGGTGGGGGGGTTGGCGATCAGGGGGTGGGGCATTAAAGATATGTATGCTTCTTTTTCCTGTTTGCATCCCAAAACAGGAAGTGGAACCAAACTTGGTTGGTTTTATAAGGTTGTGGATATGCCTGCCTGCGTGCGTGCACATGCTTCAACATGTAAATGTCCGTGCGGTTATATTTGAAAATGTGTTTTCGTTTGCAAACATGAGCAGATCTCGCCAACAGCCCGGCAACAGCGAGAACATTTTCGACGTGTGGTGTGGTGGTTTATCTGTTGCCGAGAGATGTGTGGAGTTAATCTCAGCTGCAGTCTAATCTGAGCCCTCGCTGTCCTTTTCTTCTCGGGAGGAGGATTCCCGTTTGCTTTTGTAGCACTACATTCCCCCCCCAAAAAAAAACTCTGGTCCCAGGCCAGTTAGCTCTCGGGAAAGGCTTGAAACTGGTTCCCGGATCAGATTTGAAGCAAGTGTTTCTCCCTACCTGTTACGTGTAAATAGGTTACATAGAGAGGTTTTATTGCACACCTGATGCATACGGTCACAAGATGCAAGATGCAGTATAGCGGAAGTAGGATGCTTTATGTAAGCGAGGGAGCCGGGGGGAAGTTGAAATGTGAAGTCATACTCTATTCATTCTCTTTCTACATCCTCCTTTCCTCCTGTGTTGCTGTCTGCTACCAAACAGCAGTGATGGCCGGGAATCGCCGGCCTAAAAAGCAGGAAATGATATTTCACAGAGGAAACAGACTCTTCCAGTTAAGGCAGCAGCCAAGACAACAAGAAGAAGTCAGAAGAAAAGGTCTTTGTAAAGCATTTATATTAACGCATCAGTGCATGCAAAGTTAAGTTCTTTGATAATAATGTGAAGATTATATTTGTGCTCTGTGTTTCACTATGGTAGGAATCTTTTTTTTCTTTTTGTTTTTCTGGCTAATATAAATGAACTGAGGAATAATGAATAATTTATTTTGTACATAATGTTAATTTTATTTAATTTTTGTATTCATTTTGTGTTATATTATTTTATTTTTTCATGTTTTCTTTTTTTTTCTCTTTTTCTTTTTCACAACCTGTGTTTCTGGTTTCTTTCGACGCTGTACAGAATGACAGTACGCTTCTATTCAAAGTATCAAGTCCACGTTCTCTCCTCTCTTCTTTGTTGATGTACAGGAGTTGTTTTTAATGATAAATATGAATAACGATTAACAAATATTAAACTAGCATTGATGAATGACCATACTATATACAGAGGCACAGGCATTCAGGCAGCCAAAAGCATGATTGCATGGTTAAAATTTGCGCTGTTCAAAGCAAAAAGCAGCCAGACACATTTTAACAGAAGAGCCGGTGTGTTGCCGTCACAATTTAAAGGAAAAAAAGTGTACTCTCTCTGATCATAATTCTTGATGATTCCTCTTGTTATTTGATGATATTTATGATTCTATGATTATTATGATTCTATTTATTATGGACATTATTCTTAATATTTAAGCTCTCTCTCTCTGCTGGTTGCTCTTCATGTTGCGTTGCTCCTTGGTTGATCTTGTTGTGCTTCTTTGGGAGAGGTGAACCCCCCTGGGAGACCCTGTGCCATAGAAATTGTGCCACGGTTCTTACTTTCTTTCTTCTCTCTGCTCCACAGTGTCTCTCTCTCTCTCTCTCTCTCTCTCTCTCTCTCTGTCTCTCTCCTCTCTTTCTGTTTTGACTCCCCAGTCACTAACACTGTAAGCATGCCCCATGGGACGATCCACTTTTTTACTCTTGAATAAAATATGCATGAACCTTTGGTATGGATACCGAGCATTTATTCCCTCACTACTAAGCGTGGAAACACACACCATAATACTAAAGAATCACCCCTGATGACACTGAGGCAAATCCTGTCTAACTGACTGGACCTGTTATGTCTCTAATCTGAATGATTCAGAGCATATAGATTCACATTGAATCAATATGAAGAATGTGCTTTGCTCAAACAGAAAGTAGAAGATATTAGACATAAGAAGACAAAATGTATACAAATAGATTACCAGTCCAGTGTGTAACATTTAGGATTATCTATTTGTAGGATGTTTTCATTAGTGTATAATCAACTGAAAATAAAAATGTGTTTTTGTTGGATATTAGGATAAAAGTAAAATTACTGTTTGTTACCGTAGGATGAGACATTTTTATCTACAGACAGACACTCTGTGGAGGTCGCAATGTTGAACCACCACACAACAGGTGGGGTCCGGGCTCCCTGGTCCCTGCTTTTAAAATGAACTAATTTCTATTTTAAAAAGATATATTCACATATTTCTGATTTAGAATGGATCTAAATGTGATCGCCAGGCTTTTTCACACTGCCCCAACAATTACATTGATTCAGTTGAATTTGATAGAGATTGTGACAGCCACTGATTAGCCTTTTGGATACATGATTAATCCATAATGGAAGAAATATTTACATCATGCTCTTCACCAAACGCACAAACAGAAATACTCTTTTACAATACTCAATCTTTCTTAAAATAAAGATTTTCTTGTGAACGTTTCCAGTTTCAGTTTCCGAGAGGGTATCCACGAGATGCAGTGGACCTGGCGTGTGCAAATGTTTCTAAGTAAATCTACTCTAGTGTAATTAACACAATAATTCTCTAGTGTAATTAACACAATAATTCTCTAGTGTAATTAACACTGGAACATATTTTGTTGACGACACTGGCAAAGAGAAAAGAGTGTCATGTGTTTATCATGAACAAAAAACTCCACCCACCATGGATGTTTGCTACTTGGTCTAAAAAGGTGAAAAAGGTCAACACTTTAACCACCTTTGTGACCAAAAATTTAAATGATAAAATGCAAGCAGCGCTAGTAATGTTGTCTGCCTTCACCTGCATGTACCAAATGTGTCCTAATTGAGGAGGTGGAAATGTGGCTGAAACAAAACGAACAAAACATTTTAACTTTTCACTGTCTGTACAGTCCAGTAATGTAAGAGAGTCAAACATACTGCTTCATCCAGAGGCTATGTATTCATAATAATAAAATTATTTACCGGAAAGAAGAGTCACTTTCTCTTTTGTTAAGAAGACACTCCCATAAAACAAACATATAGAGTAACATTTGTGATAAGCCACCAAACAAAAAAACATAAATTATGGGGAAGAATACAAAAATATTTTATTTTAATGTGTTAGATTAAAAACGGGTGTGTAATATTATAGTACAGTATAATGTAAATTCTTACCCCCAGTGTTCAGAAAGATATACCATTAAATCACAAAAATAACTTGGGGGGGCTGGTAGCTCAGTTGGAGCTGGTGCCCCATGTACCGAGACCCTCATGCAGCGGTTCATGGATTCAGACCCCCATTTCCTGTCACACTTAACTATCAACACCAATTAAAGGCAATAAAAGACAAAAAACAACAACAACATGTATCCCACCAACTGCCACTGTTAACTACTAAAAAAAAAAGTCACACGCTAAGGCCTTAACAATCAGTGGATCTCAACCCAACTGAACACCCATGGGATTGGCTGATGTTTCATCCCTCCTGTAGAGTTTCTATGATCTATGACCAAAGATCCATCCAATAACACAGTTGGTCAGCAATCATTATAAAACATTTATAGCTTAATAGTGGGAACCTCCCTGACCCCTCCCTCTCCCATTGCTCTCCCTGCTTCTTGGCCTCTGCTTGCCTCGGTTTTCCGGTAACTCTTGCAGGCAGGAAGTTTATTTAACCATAATCGAAACTGAAAGTGTTGGATGTGACTGAAGGGGCGGAGAGAGGAGGAGGAGGAGGAGGAGAAGAGAGGCAGAAAGGAGAGCAGAAGAGTGAGGAAATCTCTTTCATTTGGATCACAGCTAACAAAAAGGTGAGTCCTCACATACATTTCTTTCTCTAGTCTAGTTCACAATGTGCAGTGCACACTAGCACACTGGTTAATATTTGCCATACTTATTCTTAAAAAATGCTGAGTCAGCAATTATTGTTCTTCAAATGTTTATTTTTGTCTTGCTTTGCAACCACTTCTCCATATTTTCACCTACAGAAACCATTCATGTATCAAAATGTTCAGCTGTGTCCTTTCAGCTTTAAGGACACAATGAGTATGTCTGTTTCTTCTTTCTGACTTTTATACTTTTTTTTTTAAGTATAAAGCTTTTTTTTAAACAATTATTTTATGTGTAAGTATCCTCTTCCCACTTAGACTGTCCCCTGCTAGATTAGTCCTCCCGTTCACACTGGAATGAGCATCACTTACAGAGATCAGCTTGTGTTGTCTTGGAAGCTTATGTCTCCATATTAAAGTGTCTTTATCTATATCAAATATAGTTAATGCCAACAAGTGTACAGTATGTGCCTCTTAATGTTTTACTTAATAATGGATGATCTGTGGTTTGTACTGGAATACTACTTTGTGGAACTGATGTAATCGTGTTGGGACGTGGGCAGAAAACACACATCTACTAAAGACGGCATGTGAACACCGAGCCAGGCGTGCAACAGATCAAGTTTCAGCCTGCAGAGAGCAGAGAAACCTGTTCAATTCAGAATAAATGTACACTTGAAAGGCTCATTACCTACACCTAACAAATCTAACCCCACACTTTTGGCGTTTGTATTTATTGACTGTAATGTTTGTTGCCAGATACACGCTCTCACAGTCTATGACAGCTGGTGATGGTGATGTCTGTCGAGGTTGTAAAAAGCTAATTGGTGGTTGTTATCAAATGTTTTGTCTGTCGTCTGATGAGAATGAATGAAATTAGGTTTACAAAGAGAGACTGATACATATGTTTTCTTTATAAAAGCTCTCTCTGACACCGGGTGCCTGTCTGCTTACAGATGCAATGCCACCAAGATCAGGAAGCTCTCATCCCTCGGCCTCGTGGGGCTTTGCCTAAGGCGTGTGCTGCGGCGCTGTTTGCCGTAACGATGGGGGTTGTCCTGTTTTTGTCTCCTGAAAGGTTATTTGGCTGGGTTGGCATGGTGATACTCACCCTAACCCTTGGCCCTCTTCTGCATGGGGTCTGTCTGCTAGCGGAGGAGATGCTGTACCATTCAAACACAAGGTGAGAGAAAAGTTGTGGTTTAAAAAAAGAAATTTATTATAGTTAGAGCTTTTAGGAGTTTAATATTTGTTGTTCAGTTTGAATGACAAACTCTTTGCTGCCAAACCCTCAGAATAAAGCTGTATTAGAGGTCGGTCTCAGTAACTGTATGTCTACACCAATAATAGCTGGCAACCTTCTGTCCTTTGTTCTGTTTTCATTAGGTACCGAGGCCGAGGGCTGCTGAGCCACGTGCTTCCAGCCTGTGGTTTAGGGGGAAAGACCCTTCTGGCTGCAGCGATGGCAGGCCTTCTGCTCTACCTGGCCGGACATCCTCTGCCACACGAAGGCCAGTGCTGGAAACTCCTCTTCCTGACCTCGGTTCTTTACGCGCTGTTAAAAAGCCTCGGAGTCCTGGTGAGGTCCACACAAATACCGCTGTCATTGTTTTCCACTGCGGTACAAACACAAAAAAGTGTGAACAATATATGTATGCCTTCTTAAAGGGTTAGGGTCCAGCTATATTACCAAGTTTTATACTGCCAACACATAAAAACACAAGTACAGCGCTTTAAATGAGCCTGTAGACATCTCTTTATGTAACTCTGCCATTATCCTTGGTAAGGACTAACAGAGTATGCTAAATAAAACGTATTTCAGTGACTGTTGATTCAGTATTCAGTTTAAAGATTCAATGTGAAAGATTTGTTTGTAAATGTACTGAAAACACTCAACTAGTAACACATTAGGGCGGCTGGCAAGACAGTAGGGACGCCAAGAACGGTTGTCCTTGCAATCATTTCTCAAGGCTGTTATCTCAAGACAGTTATCACAATTGAAAACTTTATTGAGGGATCATTATGGAGAACTTGGAACTGAGTGTCTGGTTCATTCGATCACTCCTGATTTCAGCCTTAAAGATCAGTTTCATGACCTGACCTGAATCAGAATGTATACCTGAGAGTTAATTTAAGATGTCAATTTTCTGGCAATGTGAAGCAATGCTAACAAAATATATCAGGAGAAGATTGATTTATTAAATGAGCTCAAAGATCACTGCAAGGTCCAGATTCAGTGTGGAAATGAGTCATTCCTCCATTCATTTTCCATTATGTTGAACCAATGGTTGACATGGATAAGTAGTAAGAGGAAATGACCTTTGATTTTCCTGTGATAACAGGTCTACATCAAGATAACTAAGATTTTTTGTGTGAACTTGAGATAACATGTCTTTTTTATTATTACGTATTTTAAAACAATGCCGTTACAAGTAAAAGTTAGATGCACCTCCTGTCCTGGAAAACAGGAAAAAACTGTGCAGAAGGAATCTCTCTCACTCTTTTCACAATCTTGATTGATTTAAATCGTTGCTTTTATAAGCAAGGTCGTCATTTAAGACATTTCTATACTTTTACAGCTCAGAGCGCCATAGTAGAAGTGAAAAATAATAGATCTATTTTAGTATAAGAGCGATACACTTGAGACAGAACAGTCCCTATGTAAGGACACTTCCTGAAGCATCAGTTGATTGTAATTGATGTGGCATTTCCGGAGTTAAAGGCTCAAAATATGTCTCCATCAGCAACAATGACCACAGCACTCACTCTGTCCTCAAAGAATTTCTGTATAGTTCTGAACAAAGCTCACAGTTCCCTCAGACTCCTTATATAGAAACTTGCAGCATTATAGATTCAAATGCAACTCAAACTTGGGTGCAGCTGTCTCCATCCCCTTCTTTT